CCCACCTCACGGCCTCTTCGCGGGGCTCCCCACACCCACGTGCCACGCGCTGCGGCCTCTGCCGCCTCTGGTCTAGGGCTGACACTCCCGTCCCTGCCCTTCGGGAGGGGCACCCCCAGCCCAGGCATCCTCCTCCGGGAACGAGACAGACTCTAGAATCTTCTCTGCACAGTCTACAACCGGGCCTCCAGCGGCTGATCTGAGAGGAACCAGAGCTGCAGGCCGGGCAGGGCCTTGACCTTGTGGCCAGAGGCTTCCGGGGGGCACAGGGAGCGTGCGCTCCATTAGCCCTTCCAGCAACGAGGCGGCTGGCTGGAGGAGAGGACCGGTTCCCGCACTTGGACCACTGCCTGCAGGCCCAGCGGTGCCTCTCGACGCCGAGAGGAGGGGGTGAGGAGGCTGCGGCCCCAGGACCCCGCGGTGTCTCCGGGTCAGGCAGCGGGACCGGGGAAGTGGGGGCCCCGGGAGTCGTCAGGTCAGGCGGCGGGACTGCTCTGGTGCACCAACCGGCCTGGTCCCCCCCCCCACCAAGCCCCCGGGCGGACATGCAGGGCCGTCGCTGCGTCGGGACCTCAGCTCCTGACAGCTACGGGGTCCGGCGTTCCCGGGCAGGGGGAGGGACCCCACAGAGGAGGGGCTTGGACGGGTGCGGATGACGCCACTGTGCACATGGCCTCACGCCTTTTCTTCTTAGAACAGTCTCCCCCCCGTGGGAGTATGAGGTTGAAGCCTAACGTTTTTAAGTGTGAATGTTTTAGGGAGGGGCCCTTGTTCTGAGGTTCAGGGACTTTTCTGCCCTTGTACATCGGCCAGTGTGTTCAGGAGCCGGACACGGAGGCCCACAGGGGACACGGGAGGTGCGGTCCCAGAGGCCGGGCGGCGTGGAGGGCCCGAGCTCTGGGCTCCGTCCTCCTTGCCCGCCGCCCTTTCCCGTGGGTTCTCCGGGCCAAGGCCTGTGGAGGGCTTTCTCCCTGGGCTTCTTATCGGCCCATCGGCCCATTTAGGTAATGACACTTCCTGCCCGTTAATCTTGGCCGAGATGAAGTCAGCTCCGCACCGATCTGGCCAGAAGCTCGCGGAAGACTTCCTATTTGGGGAATAGAACGGAGCTGGGCCTCTGGCGCGTTGAGGAAGTGGAGAGCCCGGCTTCCCGAGCAGCGGGCAGGAGAACAAACAGGGACACGGCGCCTGAGCGCCGCCGAGGGCCCACGTCAGAGCGCGGCCTTCCTGGGCTGGAAGCGGCCGGCCAGCCCGAGGATTGACATCCTGGCCCCGCAGACCCTGCCAGTAGGAAATGGGGGGGAGGGTGTTGGGCCGGTGCTTTTCTGGGGGCCTAGCTGGGAGGCCTAGGCCACGGCCTCCCATCTGACACCTTGCTTCTCAGCCTCTGGGAGGCACGTGGGGTGCTGCGCCCGTGAGCTCCTGGAACCCCTTTGCTGAGCTCGGCTCACAGGCTCCAGTCCCAGGCTCTACAGCGTTCCCCGCCCCCCTGCGCCCCGGCCTGGGAGATCTGACCCTCTGGTGGGCGCCGAGCAGCAGAACCGGGGAGAAGCCAAGTAGCTCTCCCTCCCTCTGTCTCCAGCTGCATCTCTACGCTCCGAGCTTTGGAGCAAGGTTCTGGGCCCTGGGCGCTGGAGCACCCCCTCTTTCTCCTGTCCCTCCAGCCTGGGGCATGGTGGGTCCCCCAGCACTTGGCATCCTCTGCCCCCCTCGTTAATGCCCCAGGAGCCCTTCACGATGACAGAGACAACTCGAAGCCAGTCAGCTTCCCTCTCTCCAGGCAGGGCAGTCCTTGAATGTGTCTGTAGTGTCCCCAAGGCCCCCACGGGTGAACCCCACCTCCTGCCCTCCCCCACTCACCTCCCGCATAAACTGTCCTAGAATCCTGCCTCAGCATCTGCTTCTGGGGGACCCACCCCAGCCAGCCTCCCACTCGTGCCTCGTCATCCCCTGCTGGGCCTCTCAGGGGTCCCTCACTAGACCCCTCAAGCATCACGGTCCAGGGCAGACGGTGGGCCTGCCTCTTGGCCAAGCCACCACTTGCTCTCTGATCCTGAGACTGGGGGCAGGGAAGGAAGGCAGAGCTGGAAAGGGAGGGTGCATCGGGAGGTGGGGGCAGGCTGGGTGCTTTGGCCAGCGCTGCAGGGAGCTGGTGCAGACTTTCCCTTTGCCGGCTTCCCTGGGACTATGGGGCCTGCCAGTTGCATAAAGCACTCCTTACATAAGTGGTGTGAAGATACATGAAAAGCCCCAGGCAAGTCAAAACAACCCTAAATGGGCAGGGATCCCAGATGGACAAACACCGGGAACGTGGTGAGTAACTGGTCGGAAAGCCCCGGCTGGCAGGAAGGGGACTCTGGGTGGGGTGGCCCTGGAGGAGAAAGTGGTTGGGCAGAGGGACGGACGTGGAGGCCTACGCTCCGAGCCTCCAGGTGCCCGCCCCAGCCCTGCTCCAGCCGCCGGCCTCAGCCTCCTGCCGTGGGCCTCGCTCGCAGGGCGCATGCGCCCGCGCGTGGCTGACCGGCCGTCATGATCGGGTTGGGGAGGTCAGCGCAGGCCCCTCTCTTCACACCTGGAGTTGGGGCCCACAGGGATCCTGGGACATCCCATGCTGAGGTCCTTGACTTGGTCATATCTGCAAAGACCCCTTTTCCAAATAAGGCCTCATTCACAGGTTCCAGTGGTCAGGACCTGGGCAGAGTTTGGGGGACCACCGTTCACCCCATTCCAGTTGGCAGGGGAAGGTGCCCCTTGAATCTCATGAGCTGGGGAGGCTCCTGGAGGCGTCCAGACGTGGTGAAACCAGCCGGGGTCAGGACAACCTCTCTGAGCCGGGCTCCTACCCTAGGAGCCCCATCCCAAACAGACCCCCACTGCCCCGCCTTGAGCTCCTCCCTGCCCCACCCCCGGCCTCGCTGGGGCATCTCCCAATCCCCCCCAGGACACCTCCGTCGAGGCTCTCCTGTCCCCCCAACTTCTCTGGATGGGAGCTGAGCCCGCCAGCCCTGGCCCCGGTGCCTGGGTGGGAACTCAGGGGTATCCAGGCCTCTTCTGAGTCTCAGAGGCAGTGAGGACGGGGCAGCGCGGGGTGGGGGAACAGAAAGATGGGAGGGGCTGGACTCCCCCAAACCCTAGGGCTTAACGCAGGCTGTAGCTGCCCCACCCCCAGCTCTGGTCCCCCAGCACCCCCAGGCCTCCTGCAGGCAGCCCACCTCCAGTTCCTCCAGCCCTTCTGATGCCCTGGTGCTTACAGGGACCCCGGGGAGCACAGACCCTGGGAACCCAACATGGAGGATGTTGTTTGTTTTACGCTGAGTTCCCCTGAGGGGGACGAGCTGGGTGCCCCAAAGCCCCCGGGACCCCCACTCTGGGGCTGTCCCAGATGGCAGATGCAGAAAAATAGCTCCATCTTTCTAAGCCACAGGCCTCTTTTTTGGGAAGCCGAGCCCCATCTTCCGGCTTCCTGGGACCCAGCCCCCAGACAGGCGGAGGTTTGCGGCTTGTGCATGGTGGCCGCGCCCCGCACCCCGCTGCTGTATGGCCCTCACAGCTCCTGTCCTCTCTGGGGACCCAGGGGGGTGTGGAGCTCATTCCCCCCCCCCCCCTGCAGCCTCACACTGTCCCTTTTCAGGGCAGTATCTTTACCCAGGGTGGTGCCCACGGGTCAGCCAGGCCCGGCTTTTACCAAGAGGCCCTGGGGTAGCCGCCGGCGGGTGGGAGAGCCCAGGCCTGGCCTCGGGCGTGCTGGACCCCTTCCCACCCCGCCAGCAGGAGCCCCCATCCCCCTACCCGGTCCCAACTTCTTTCTCTGGCTGGAAGGGAGTCTGGACGTTTCACCCCTAGCAAATGGCCAGACAGGGAATATTCTCACGCAGCCAAAAATGACTCAGGCTGGAAAGTGGGGGTGCTCACGGGGGCCGCCTGTGCTTTCCAGCTCTGTGGTGGGAACCCACTCTTGTCCCCACCACAGCGGAGGGGCACGGGGCCCTCCCCCAACGGGAGAATGACAGGGCACCCCCAGGGCAGTGGCCAGAGACCCACGGGCCCCTAGACAGCACCACCGCCGGTTTCCCAGGGTCCTGAGAGCCCACTGATTCTAGTCTGGATTAAAGCTGGCTCACTGCCCGTCTCCTGCTGCTCTGGATCCTCTCCTGGAACATACATGCCGTAGAGCTGACCCCCCCGCTCCCCACATCGTGTTCCTCTGGATCACGTGACCGCTGACTCGCTGTGGAATGGTTTTCCGAAAACATATGCTGGCTGTCATTTTGTCCACGGCTGTGTTTGAGCTTTGACACCGATGTGCTCGTGGAAGGAACCGGGCTCTGTCTGACGTTTTGCTCATTTCGTTCTTCCCCTCTGGCTCCATCCCTCCTTTCCCTTTTCCGGCTTCTTCAACATTTTGTCATATTCCATTTCCGCTTAGCTCTTGGCTCTTTGGGGCTTTGCCTCCGTGAGTCTTTGGTAGTGGTGGCTTCGAGCCTGTGAAATTCTGCCCTCCCCTCCCACGTCCTGCTCAGCTTCTCTGTTGCCACGTCAGCCAACACGTAGGAGCCCCCGGCCACCTCCCCCTTCCTCTTTAGAGACATTGTCCCACTGACTTCTGCCTCCGTGTTGTTTGAAAAGATGTTTGCACTTGTTTATTTTGTGCCTGATTTCTTTTTCATTAATAGTCCTTTTTAGAGAGTAGATTTAGGTTTGCGGAGAAATTGAGCAGGAAGTCCAGGGAGGTGCCTCTGCTCCCCCCTCCCCTGCTCAGAGCGCCGCCCCCCCCACCTGCATTCCCTTGTCACAGTTGCTACATTATGACTGTTAACGAAAACCACAGCTTACAGTAGGGTTCACTCTTGGTGTTGTATGTTCTGTGGTTTGGACTCACTGTATAATGACACAGAGTAGCTTCCCTGCTGGGAACTCTGCCCACCCCCCACCCCCACCCCCAGCCACCTTTTTTCTGTCTGTTGTTCTGCCTTTTCCAGAGTATCTGTGTTGGAAGCACACAGTATGCAGCCCTTCCAGACCGACTTCTTTTACTTAGCGATGTGCCTTTCGGGTTCTTCCACATCTTCCTGTAGCCTCTGCGGTTTGGGGGGGAAAGCGATGGTCGTTTGAATTGCTCTTCCCAATAGGTAATGCACCCCTTTTCTCTCGGGTTCATGAGATCATGGGGGGGGGTTGGTTTGCTTGGCAGATTGTTTGCAATGTGGCTGGGCATCATTTTCTTTGAGTTTAGCCTGTTTGGGATTTGCTGAACTTGTTAAATTTGTCTTTCCCCCAGTTTGGGACATTTTCTGCTATTATCACTTCAACTATTTTCCCGCACCATTATTTTCCCTCCTCTACTCCGCGACTCTTGTGGCATGAATGGTGGACCTCCTGCTACCGTGCCACGAATCCCTAAGCTTCTGTTCATTTTCTTTTTCAGGCTGAATTTTCCTCTGTTGCATAGGTTGGAAATTTTCTATGGATCTCTCTGTAAGTTCAGTCCCCTTTCCTGCCACTGCTGTCCTGCTACTAAGCCCACCTAATGATTTTTTTTTTTAATTTCAGGGATTTTATCTTTCAGTTCCCAAGTTTCTATTGAGTTGTTTTTTTGTAGTTTCTATTTCTCTACAGAGAATTTCTACCTTTCCATTCACTTCAAGTGTGTTTCCCTTTACCACATGAAGCACATTTATAGCAGGTGTGTCAGAATCTTTATCAGATGATTCCAGCATTGGGGTCATGTTGGGGGACCGGGGGGCTGGGGACTGTCATTCTCTTGAGCATTTTTGTGGCTCCTTGTACGTCAAGTAATTTTGGACTCCTTGGACTGTCGTGAATATTTTCAATATTATGTTGTGTAGGCTCTGGGTCTTGTTAAAAATCCCCTGGAAAATGTTGACTTCCTTTTTTATTTTACAGCCGCAAGCGATGGGTCCAGCTGCGCCCAGACCACAGTTCTGTGTCACCTGCTGCGGGCCGCGTTTTCTGTCTCAGTTCAGCTCTTGGGGCCTTTGCTGGGCTGTGTAGGGTTGTCTTCTCCAGCTCTTCTCTGTCCTGGATTTCTCCCAGCAGGACCCCTGTCCTGCTTCCTCTGTTCAGAAGGATGGAGTCCCCATCAGAGTCGTAGCTGCTTGTACCCCCACTGCCGTGAGGCCTGGACATGCACCGGGCTCCCCGCTCCTTCACCAAGACCAGAAGTCCACACCTGAATGTACGAAGTCATTGTCACTGGTGTGGCTGGTACGAGATTTTTAGGCTGTTATTCCTCCATTCCTACTGATAGCAAGAAATGTAATCTTAATCAAACCTGGGGAAACTATACCATTCATATCTTAAAGCATTACATTTGGGATTACCTTCTCCCCTGACTCGCTGGTGAAGAGGGCTAGGATGGTCAGTGGGTGACTCTGGTGGGTCTCTGGGCTGCCCGGACATAGCTGTGGGACGGGGGGCTGCGAAGGTTCAGCCTCCCAAACACCGGCTCTAGAGGCAACTCCTTGGGCAGGGCTGCAGCTGGGAGGCGTTTGACTCCAGTCACAGAGCTGCCCCCAGACCACAAACGCCCTCGTCATGCTCCCCATGGCTCTCTGCCCCTCCTAAAGTCCCGCAGAGTCCAGAGAGCAGCAGGTGGCCAGGAGACGAGCCCGTGTGTCCGGCTGAGCTTCAGCCCTGCTCACCTGTCGGGCCGGGTGCACGGGACCTGCAGGCATCCCGCTGCCGACCTCTCCCCGTGGGTTCCGTCCCGCACTCTGGGACGATTGTGGGCTTTGGCCCAGCCCATCATTTGCCCTGAATCTGGGGGGTTAGTGCCGTGACAGGGACAGGTGCTCTGCCTGTCCTGCAGCCCAAGATTTGTGTATGTTTTCATATAAATCCTATCAATAGTGGTTAAATCACTACATAACCGCCCTCCATCGCTGCCCACGTCCTCCCACACAATGGGAGCTCCGGACAGACGGATCATGTCTGCATGGTTTCATGTCCTACCGGGCATGTTGGGTGGGGTTCACATGGGTCGGGCTCCCGCCAGCTGGTCTCTTGGGAGCGTCAAGGATGTCCTTGTCATTGTGGACACTAAACACATGTCGGGGTAGTGATGGAGATTCAGAAGCTGAGCTCCAGACGGCGGTAGGAGGCAGACCCTGCGTTTGACCGTGGAAACATGTCAACCCGCAGAGCTGCGTCCGTCTCCTGCCTCCGTGGGAGGGGATATGGGCGGCGCCGGGCCGAAGGAGCAGCAGACCGAATCCAGCTGGCTGATCTGCCCACGCAGGAGGGTGGGCAAGGGCAGGTGTGGCCGGTGCCTGCAGAAGAGTGTTTTCGAGCTGGGTCAGGGGAGGGCAGCTTGGTGGCTGTAGCAGAGGGAGGTCGAGGTGTGGTGCGGCCCCGGGATGTCACCCGAGGACAGTGCTGCCGCTGGAGAAGGGGGGTGCAGGTCCAGCTGCATCATCCGGGTCCTTCCCTGGCCTGCAGGCACGTTCTCAAGCCGGGTGATGAGGAAGTGGCATCTGTGGGAGACCTCCGAGGCCACGGGGCCTTGATCTGGGGCCGAAGCCTCAAGCTTTCCTCTTGGCAGAGCAAAACTTGGAGGAACACCAGCCGTCAGCACAATGGGAAGAAACCTGTTTCCTTTTACTTTCTTAGGGGGAAAAGGTACAGTTGCGAACAAATGCATGGAAGAGACCTCTCCACTTTGAACCTGGAGCCCATGGGGACCTGGCGTCCTTGTGAGGACACAGAGCTGGCCCTGCTGTGCCAGGAAGCACCGTGCCGCCCAGAGCGCACTGCCCAAGCCGGGGAACCACAGAGTACTCTGGGACCCCTCTTTGCTCGGGGCCTAGGGCTTCTGGCCTCCCACGTCCAGGGCAGCAAAGGGCCTGGTCCTTCTGACTCCAGGGTCCGCCCGGGGCCCTAGGCCTGCCTGGCCTGGACAGCCGGTGGGCTGCCCATCACGGAAAGCTGAGAAGTTACCTGTGCACCCTGGCTCGGGTGGGTCTGTGCCCACGGGAGCCCCTGGAGGGGAGGGGACTCTGTGCTCTTGTGCCCTGTTTGCATGGGTCACACCCACCAAAGTTTGCTTTGCCCTGGGTCCCGAGAAGGCTGAGCGTGTGACGGCTCACATGCTGTTGAGTGGAAATGCTCCAGACACATGCCCTAGCCTGTGAGCAAGCTTGGGTGTGGTTTACACACTCACACACATACACCGTCACACGTGCACACGTGCTCACACACGAGCACACACACCACAGTGTGCACACACGTATGCTCACACAGAATCCACAGTCACACCGGCGTGAATTCACACACAGTCATGCATTTTGCATACATAAGCACACGCCACACATGCACACGTGACCTCACACACCGTCACACCTACACGCATGCTTGTGCATGAACACATACACCAGTGTGCACACATACGTGCTCACACATGTGCCCATGGTCACACACAAACTTGCACACGTGGTAGCATGTGTAACACACTCACACATGAACTCACGCACGGTCACACGTACGCACATACCCCTGCATGAATAACACACCACACACGTGTACGCACGTCAGTTCTCACACACACACACCCCCTCCACTCCACACGGAGAGCGGTGAACAAGGTAGACCCCATCCCAGCTAGCGTTCAAGCGCAGGTCTGAAGCTGCTTCTGAGGGTCTCAGCGGCAGACACAGCGGCCTCGCTACGTCGGGAACAAGCCAAGATCATAAATAAGTCCGCGCTTTGGTAAAGCGAGGTTTGCTGGGATGTGGCCCTCAGGAAGGCATTTCTGTGAAGACTGACACCAGTCATCACCCCGGGAGCCGAGAGGACTTGGACCCGTGTGAATGCGAGTCTGGTATCTCGGAGGACGTGCAGTCCACCTGTTCGTCGCGTGGAACGGGAACTCCCGCGACGCAGACCCCTGGGAAATGGCGCCGGGCCTGGTCGGGGTTTGGGTGCGGCGTCAGGAGAGCCCGCCGCCGCGCAGCTCAGGGGGAGCTGGCGTTCAGGCGAGGGCTCCCGTGTCCCGGCTTCGAGGTTGGCAGGAGGCGCCAGGGCGCCCAACACGTGGGGACGGAGGCAGGGACCGCAGACAGAAGTCTGTCTGACAGAAGTCTGTCCTGGCTTGTCTGTCATTGACCCCAGGACCCCACCACTGTCCCAGCTCGGGCCCTCCTCCACTTTCCATCTCCCGGGAGGCCTGGGCGCTGAGCGGGCGCACCCGCCCCCTGGGCCGCTGAGCCAGGCCCTCCTGTGTGGGGGACTCACAGGCTCTGTGCCGTGCTGGGGGGGAGCAGTGATCTCACTTTGAAACAAGTCCTCCCCTGCCCCCATCGCCGGTGCTCCTGCCATTTCCGATTGCTTAACCAAGCAGACCCCAGGGGCTCAGCATCCCGGAGCCTCCTCTCTGTGGTGGCTCTTGTACAGCAGGGCCCGTTGGCCAGTCTGCGTTGGTTAGAGGAGAGACTGGTAGCCAGCCCCCGGGAGCGCTGTCCTCTCTTGAGCCCCCCATAGGCTGGGTCCCACAGGGCACGTGTGCCCACGCACACCGCACATACATGTGCACACACACACACAGGAACACACACTCATGCACGCACCGCAGGTACATGTGCGCACACAGCACACACATACGCATGCACACACTCATGCACACACCACACATACATGTGTGCGTACTCAAGCACACACCACATGTACATCTGTGCACACAGCACACACACATACACAGGCACACACACTCGTGCACACACCACACGTACATGTGTGCGTACTCAAGCACACACATGTACACGCGCACACACACATACGCAGGCACACACACTCGTGCACACACCACACGTACATGTGTGCGTACTCAAGCACACACATGTACATGCGCGCACACACATACGCAGGCACACACTCATGCACACACATGTACATGTGCGCACACAGCACGCACACATACGCAGGCACACACTTGTGCACACACATGTACATGTGCGCACACAGCACGCACACATAGCAGGCACACACTCATGCACACACAACACATACACGTGTGCACACACTGCAGCCCTTTCTCATGCCCCCCTCCTCTGTGCTTTTCTCGACTCTTCCACCTCCAAGGTCTCCCTACAGTGTGTCCCCGTTGGGACAGGTGGGAGGTGAGGACACTCAGGAGGGGAGGGGTCACCGGCACGTGGTCCTGGGCTCCAGAGGGAGTGAGCCTGAGAGATGGGGCTGAAGGAGGGGTGGCACCTGGGGATGACTCTGTCTGGGGCCCTGCAGGCAGGGATGGGGCCAGGGCGAGGTCAGCAGGCTGAGCAGGTGGGGCGGGGGGCTTGTCCAGGCGGACGCTGGCTTCTCTAGGGACCAGCATGGAGTTGGCAAGAGTGCCAGGTGTCGGGGACTTGGGGTGGGATGGGTCCCGAGTATCCCGGGGGGATGTCACAGCACCAGGGTGTGTTTCAGGAGGAAGGTGTTGGGGGGCTGGGGGCCCCGGGCCTGGTGTGGCAAGGAGGAGCCAGGAGGAAAGTTCCTCCCCCCAGGCCCTGTGGAGGGAGGAAGAAGAGAACGCCCCCCCCCATGGTGCTCTTACAGTGGGGGGGGGGGACAGGAGGAGGCTCCGTGGGCCCCTGCTGATACCCATTTGCTCAGAGGGTGCGGGGGAGGTTACGGGGTGGGAGGGGTGCGGGGTGGATTGGGGCGCAGAGCCATGCGGGGAGAGACGTGGATGCCCTGGGACCGGAGGCTTCTTGTGGGAACTGAAGGTGGGAACGGGGGTGGGGGCGCATGGAGACGGGTCTCCAGGTCTCAGGGCAGACTGAGGGAGATGCGGGTGCGAGTGAGTGTGCGTGTGATACATGTGTGTGTTTGTGTGGTTCGCATGTATGTGTGTGTGCGTACTGTGTGTGTGTGTGTGTGTGTGTGTGTTTGCAGCTCCTGTGGATGGAGGCGTGGAGACGAGCCTCCCTGCTCTCCCAATCCCCAGGTCCAAGTTCAGGCTAAAGGGGTTTCTCAGGGGCTGGAAGCTTGGAGAAATGAGTGCTTTGAGAAGTAAGAGGGAAAACATTGGAACTCTCAAAAAAATTTTAATGCAAAGGATTTAGCTACGAAAAAAACAGTATTAACTTCGAGAAGCCGTCCTGAGGTCAGGATGTGGTCAGCATGTGTTTCTGGCCCTGATCCATCAGACCAGAGCTCTGGAATGTTCCGGACACCTGAAATGTCAGCTGGCTTTCTGTTTTCTTCCCGAGCCAGGGAGCAGATTTAAAGAAGTTTTCATCAGGGACTGAAATGCAAGGGGTGTGTTCCTGA